AATTAGCATAAAACTAGCCCGATAGATTTTCTGCAGTCTGTTGGTTGTACAGTTTTATTTGTTTTACATTCAGATTTTTGAAAACAAATTAGAGCCGTATATTCAATCAGAAGTCTAATTGATATTCCATAAAAACAGACATCAAAACCATAGCTTGCTATTAATTTTTATTAGATCTGTATGTAATAAAAATTTACAACTAAAAATTTAATTATAATTAATTTTAAAACATCACTGAAAATGCTCCATTTTGAAATTATAGCAATGTTTATGACCCATAGAATGATTATTAAAGTTTAGTGACATCTTTGAAAAATGCCTTGTATAATGGAAGAAATAGAAAATATATAACACCAACTATAAATTTTTATAGTAATAATCATAATTAAAAGTGAATATATATAAATTTATTTTGACTATAATGTTATAAGGAACAGAAAAACATCTTAATAACTTAGCATTTCATTATGAATGATAGTAGTTAAGTACACAAATGAAAAGCTATAAATTTCTTTTATTGCTAACTGCATATTATCACACTAAGAGTTTTTAAGGTAGGTTCATACTAACTAACCACTATGAATGAACAAAACAAACACTAATCAAAGAAATTGTTGTTAGCTTTGATGCTACTTACTACCTGACAAAAAACTGAATTAATACATGATTGGTTGAAAATATTTTGAATATTGGTTGTGAAAATTCAATTTGTCAAATTTCAGTTTGTTTGACCAGATTTGAGATATTTTCAACTCCAAACAAACTAATTGAACAGTTCTGAAAGCAGGACAAAGTGGAATTTGTATGCCAATATAAAACTAGATTTAAGATGCAATAAAGAAGTGCTCTAAACAAAGGGTAAAATAATAGTAACTGAGATTAAATTACATAAGGAAGGAAGTAATAAGATATGTTACTATGGATATTGTGTGACTGTCGTATCATGATAGAATTGAGATGAGTGCATTTTTGTAGTTAAAAATTTTTAAATTAGTATTAATACTGTACCTACAAATTATCTTTTGGTCCATCTAATCTGAGCACTATTACATGTTTGAATGTGTATGTAAGGATATGCCTGTGAGAGAGAGAGAGTGTGTGTGTGTGTGATCTGAAAAAAAGGTTGCTGGACACAGACAGGCAATCCCTACATTCACTTGGCATCAATTGCTTTGTTCTTGAATTTTCTTTATTTTTGGTATCTATTTTCCATTAGGTGCACACAATGCATTTTTATTTTTATTTTTGCTCCCTAAATTCCATTAGGCAGCATGGACATTGTCACTTTGACCCACTATACCTTGAAAATGAAGTGAAGGCTAAGTTTTTTATTACATTTTTGGATTCCTCATTACAACTAATGGAAAATGGCAAAGTTTAATCAAAATCAATCAATCATATTTTGAGAACAAAGACAATTCTGTAAGCCATACAGAAGAGACTTCACTAACTCTCCATCTCAATAAAAAGTACAGAGTACTGAAAAGTATGATGAAAACCATGATACAAAAATATAATGCTTAATAAATTATTGCTATTAATAGAAGATAGAAAATAAATGAAAAATTATGTACTTTATCTATACAGCCTCCTTCTATTCCATATGCAACATTTTTCAACAAATCAATGGGCGTCGTATCTATTTGCAGATCTTTCATACAACCAAGAAAATTCTGAAATGTAATTTCAGGCCAACTAGAAAAGAAATATTAAAATGTAAAATTTCTACTCATTCAAATTTTAAAAAATAATAATTAAAAATGCTATGAACTTAAATACATATAACAAGCTTAATTTATTATCATCATCAGAATAGAATAAAATAAATAAATAAATGACAGGAAAAAAATGTTTTACTTCACTGAACATTTGATGCATACAATAAACAATAGTAAAAGTATCAACTAATTAAAATATTTAAATAAAATTTACTGAAGTTACAAAATTGTCTTTGTGTTCCATTGTTACAAACACCAGTGACTTCCAAAAACAATTTTCAGTTACGCAGATGACCTTTTATTTGAGACTGCTACTATAATTCACAATGAACTTTATTGTGAATTATATTATTGGCATAATCACCAGAGGACGTTTTTATCCATTTTGCATTTTAATGTGGAGACATAGCCTCAAATAAAAGACTGTCTCTAACTGAAAATTGTTTTTGGAAGTCATTGATGTTTATAACGACAGAACATGAAGACAATTTTGTAGATTTAGTAAATTTTATTTATATAAGTATTTTAATGTAAATACTGTTGGTCAAGATTTTATTTTAGTATCAATTAATTTTTATTTAATAATTGGAAATATTATTGCTATTCTCTTGAATTGAATGTACTGGGTCTGGCATGTGTCACTCAACACACCCAAGGTTTATTATGATGAGAAAACTACAGTAACCCTTGAATGATCAGGAGTAGAACAGTGATACGTAGCAGAAAATTATTGTTTTGCTCTGTGAATACAGTTGATGCCAAATTGTCATACTAGTAGGAGTATATTATGGGTAGAATGCAAGCTTGAAATGTAGGCCTTATACAGACCTTTGAGATAAAAAAATTTTGTGCAAAACTTTCTGTAAAAATTTAAGATACAGTGGTACCTCGGTATACGTCTGCTTTAGAATACGTCCAATTCGAAATACGTCCTGTTTGGACGAAACAAATTTTACTCGGTATACGACTTAATTCAATTATACGCGCCATCTATAAACAAGTAGCACTATCGGTATACTAGACCAGGCTAGACGTTCGCGGTGCCACAGTTTATAACTTTGTTAAATTTCTTCTGATTTTAATTTGTAAGTAAAATTTTATTACTTTTATTAATCATGAATTACAAAAAGATAACTGAAAATCAACAGAAAACTTAAAAAATGACTAGAATCACAATGGAACTGAAAAAAGAGATTGAGGAATATGAAGGTGGTACATGTGGTCGAGATTTAACTGTTGCATACCGTATTCCGAGAACGACGATATCGACAATCACGAAAAATAAAGACATTATTAAATCTGCTAACGTTGCGAAAGGAGTTAAATCAATTTCTAAACAGAGATCGAAGACTTTAGATCATGTCGAGAGATTGCTTTTGCTTTGGATAACTGAAAAACAGTGTGCTGGCGACATCGTATTGGGAGCAATTATTTGCGAGAAAGCTAAAAAGAAACATGCTGATCTCATGAAAAATCAAGCATGAACTAGCCGGGAAAGCGAGGTGTTTAAAGCTAGCCATTTTTTTCACGAGAACGGATTAATCATTTTTACATTACTTCTTATGGGAAAGGTTGGTTTGGTATACGTCCTATTCGGTATAAGTCCAAACATTAGGAACGGATTAAGGTTGTATACCGAGGTTCCACTGTACTTTTATTTAATTTCATTGCAAGTTGCATTATCCTCCAATATTTTAAAAATGAAAGATTTTCTCAAATTGTGTAAAAACGTAGTATGGAATTCATGCCAACACACTTACTTGACAGAAAAAAATAAATAAATCAACAAAAAAAAAAAATACTGGCCAAGGAAATGCTTTCTCGTGGCAAATTATTCTTAAAGTGCATAGATCAATATGTTATAAGTGTTATAGATCAATGAAACATGGATCTACACTTTTGACACCAAAACAGCTCAACAATCAAGTAAAAGACACTTGTAAGGTGGAGCAAGACTGAAAAGATCACATTAAATCAAGGTCATATTGACTATTTTCTTTGATTGTTATGGTGTTGTTCATCATAAATTTCTTCTGACTGGCCAAACTGTCAACAAAAATTATTATTTGTGTCATTTGTGTGAAGCAATTCATAGAAAATGACCTGATTTGTGGCAAGAAAATTCATGAATTTTGCACCATAACAATGCACCTGCTCTTGTTGGCCAAAAATTCAACAAATATGGTTCTGCAAGTTCTGAATTCACCTGACATGGCACCATGTGACTTTTTCTTGTTTCCTTGACTAAAATTGTTGCTTCATAGTCAATGTTTTGAGTTGACTGATACCATAAAAGAAAATTTGCTATGACTCCTGAAGGAATTTTATGAAAATGACTTTAAAAACATGCTTTGAGGATTGGAAAAAATGTTGACATAAGTGAATTGCAATGGGAGGGGATAACTTTGAAGGGAATGAAATAAATTATGATAAATAAATTCAAATCTTGCATTTTATTGAACTATTCAACTATTCCTGATACTTTTTGATCACAGGAGTGTATGTATGTATATATATATATAGAATGCAATGCTGCTCTAAGAGTAGCATTGCATTCTATAGCATCAGCTATGTTGTTAAATTCATGTCTAAGCCAGATCCTGAAATTTTTGTGATGGTTTGATACAAATATGTCATTTTCCATCCATCTTCATCTGGTTGGTCCATTATGGACTTGGCTGAACACAATGGATGCAAGAAAAATGTTTCTACACAGTATGTGTTATTTTTATGTTATAACTGTATTTTTTAAATGTGTAAGATTGTAGTCTCCTTTTGTCTGCTGCTCACCCTTTTTGGATTATGAGTGTGAGGATATGTATATATGAGGTATGTTAAAGCTCTGCTATCCTTCTCCATTCCATTTTAAGACATCAGCATTCAAGACCGTGATAAGACACACATATATACATTGTAATTATTATGCCTTAATAATAATTACAATGTATACTTATAAATAGTGTTAAATATATACATTGTATTTTAAGGAACTAAATATTACTAGAATATGAACTGTATATTATACAATACTTTTAAATTATATACATTTGTTGAATAGAAGCAAATTTTGATTATCAGATATGTTATCCAGAGCTTGGATAATATGATTAATAATGTAGCTGTCATTTTGAGTCCTGTTTCCAAAGATATCTTAGTTTATACTAATTAATATAAATATTTAGAACTAACTAAATAGATAGAATTAAATAATTAATTGTATATTAACAAGGACTACTTAATATTGAAAAATATTAGCTGTGAAAAGTTGTGTGTTTTAATAATTTTATTTGTTTTTTTTCCTCTCTGTGGACACCAAGAACTTTGAAACGTATTAGTTTGACAAGGACATCAATTTAGTGGCAAGATAGTGAGAAATGTCAAAATTTTCATGGGTTATGCCAGATCATCTAGCCTAAAATCAAATCTGGATCTTTCATGGCTGTTGGCTCTGAAGGATCCAGATTTGATTTCATTTCTTAATGTTATATTGATGTCAATTCATATTATAAAATGGTAAATGAAATTATTTATATCATGATAAATTTTTAAATAAATTCCTAAAAACTAACTTTGATGTAGAGAAATTTGGTGGTACGCCACCATAATAGAGTTGACTGTCTTGAATATCTAGTGTTGCAGGACCTCCTTTTTGAATTGTAGATTCAAGGAATTCATCTTCAACTGCAAGTTGTCCTAGAGAAGGAATTAATTAAAAAAATAATGAAAAATTTTAAAATTTATCAGAATTATGGAACTGTAGAATACTGATAAATAGATTAAAGACATTCAAACTCAACATCTAGAAAACAAAGAACAATACTTTAAACCCTATCTTTGTTTAGAAATGGAATAGTTCATACTAAACACATTAAAAAATATTGACTTTGTAAACATAAAAAAAATTATCATCTACATCTTTAAAAACTTTTCTTCTAATTTATAAAGGATGATCAAAAAGTTTCTGTTTGATAGCACTGCAGTCACATGTATGATATGCCATGTTCAGTATGAGCTAATACAAAGTCAGTGATCTAGTCTTGTGATTAATAAGGTATTCATTACACTTAAAATTGTGTGTGGCATGCGCAGTATATATCATTGCTATCAGATATAACAAAATCAGATCAACATGCCATTATCTTGTTTTTGGATGCAGAAGGACAAAGATCTATGAGGAAGTGTACCTGTCCAAACCATCATTGTGGAATAGTTTGCAAAGTTTCATGAAGGCCATGACAATGTTGTTAAGCAGAAATTGGACAATCTTAAGCACCCTTAAATGGGAACACCCACTATAAAGTCCAGGTTTCTTCATACAGCTTTTACACTTTCATTCCTCTGAAAAAGTCTGAAATAGCAACAACTATTCCAGTTGAACAATGATGTGATGAGGGCTGTATCATAATTTTTAAAGCATTAACTAACCAACTTCTATCAGATAAGTATTGTTAACCCAGTTCATCAGTGGGATAGTTTCCTTAATGTCAGTGACAACTTCTTCTAAATGGAATGAATACCAGGTGTTGTAGTCCTCAAAAAGGAACTTTTTGATTATCCCTTACAATTAATAACATAGCAAAATTATTTAACTGCACAACACACCAGGATGAACATAAACAGTGCAACTCACATTAACCAGTTGACTGATGTGCATATGATTAAAACTTGCAAATGTTTTCATAGCCACTTCTGAGCTCTTCTTCAAGGTTCTTCAGGCAGGATATTCAATTTATTTTCAAATGTTAACTGCCAGCTTGTTTGAATAAAAAAGAAGCCTGAAGAAGAGTCCAGAAGGGGCTACGAAAACATTTACAAGTTTTAATCATATGCACACTGGTCAACTGGTTAATGTGAGTCGCACTGTTTATACAAAACTATTATTGCCAAACTTAACGTGTCATCTTTTATTGAGTATAAGCTATCTTAGCAACATATGGAAGAAAACCTTAATAATAAATCAACTATTTTAACCTTTTAAAAAAATTCATACAAAATGAATTTTAAATATTTGGCTATAAATTGGAAACTGCACCAAAAGTAAAAATATTAGCTTGACTACTGTTGTATATCATGTTGAATCTTACATCATGTGCCAATATATGTTTGGATACAGTGCTTCATGTCTTTGATAGTATATTTTAACATTATGCTGTTAATGTGTCTGATTTCATTTATGATATTTACGGGAAAGGTTTGATACAATATATTCATTCCTCAAGAAAATTTCACAAAAAATTTAGAGGTTGTTAATTCAGGTAACTGATGGCACAAACTTTTCAAAATTATCTAATCAACAAAGAATTTCTGGATTGTTGTCATGAATTCTATGGTTGTATGGCATGTTACATCCTGTTATTGGTATAATTTCTAATCATTTTGATAGTGTTTAATAGTTCCACAAACTGCAAAAAATGCTATGGAATTCAGTTTTTTCAAGAAAAATATGACTAATAATTGATTGAACAGATATGGTGCAACCAAACTATCAAATTTCTGTCTTTTCTACATCCAATGGTTCATAAACACATTCATAACTCTACGTACCTACCACACATGGTGCATTTTTGTCTTTTTCGTATTGGCTACTGTACTCTGCTAGTGACTCAACACCAAAGTAAAGTTCAAGCTACTATAAGACAAATAAGACATTTTACCATTGTGTACCAGTGTTTCTCAAAGTTTTTGGTCCATGACCTCCCTTTTGCACTTAAAAATTTCAAAGAATCCCCTGAAGAATGGGTTTGTGTAGAAACACATCCTGAAGGGGGAAATTAATTTAAATTCAGAAGGAGTTAATTTCTTTTGTTTAATTGCATTGAAACACTCATAATTTTAATAGCAGATTTATTTTTAGTTTCATTAAAAATTAATAACTTATCTTTGAACAAAATATTCTATGTATATGTTTCGACATTAGTAAACTCAATTAGTTAAGTTAAATATATTTTATATTAAATTTAATGTGATGGATGAGTCTGCTTATTTTGGCACAATAAATTAAACATGGGTTTAATATCAGTCAGTGCATGTCTCATAGTGATTTCTATGTTGCAAAGATGAGAGCGCTGCTTTGTTTTGTTGTTGGCCATTACTGAAAATGCCATTTTGCATAAATAAGTGGTTGCAAATGGTAAGAGAACTGCCATTGCTAATTCAGAGAGTAGTAGATACTCTGCTTTCTTACTAAGCCAAAAAGAATCTATTTCTAAACACGAATCCATAGTAAATTTATAAAATATTTGAAAAAATTGATCTGTCATCAATTTTTCTGAGACCTCCCCAAATATTTTTCACGACCCCCACTTTGAGAATCACTGGTGCACCATATTTGGAGCAGCCAAAAAAATCCAGCATATAAATATGCTTTTAAATTTCTCAGGCTATATTTAAGTTGAAAAATTTAAAAGAATCTTTTGAGCAAGTTTTATAAAACAATAAAATACATCTATTTTTAGTGTGAGCCATGGATGACGATCAGTGAGATTTAAAGATTAAGTTATAATAATAAGCCATCATGTACTACATACGAACATGGAGAAAAAAAAAGGATTTATCATAAATATCATCTCTGTGCTCTAAAACCAATTTTAATTCTTTACGCACAAAATCAGCCAAAGGGAAAATTGACTAATTTTTCTATATAAATTCCCCTTGTAGCCTGAAGAGTATAAACAATTTCATTTCCAGGCATAGAAAAAGAACTCTTCAGTGCTTAAATAGTTACATGCAACATCTGACGAGGAGTATATACGCTTCAGGAAAAAACTATGTAGCAAACATAACCTTCAATATTTATATTTCTTTATAGGCATAAAGCTATTTGTTTATGATGCAATTTCAATTGTATCAGCAGCCAACAAAAGTGTTTTAAATTTAATTACTAGCAAATATATAACTGAACAAGTTTTAGTTACAAGTTATTTGTATCAGTCAATGAAAAGAATTAATACAGCATTAATCATCTTACTGGTAGTAATCTTTGTATCAATTTTTTTAATGATATTGCCAATATTTTCTTAAAGAGGATAATTTTTTTATCATTATTTTTTTTTGTAATCAACACATAATAAATGGTAATCAAGCTGATTGCAGTTACTACACTATTTTAAATTTACTGTCATGGAGAAAAATTCTAGTTTGAATCTCATGCCTCAGAACTAGAATTATTGTATATACTTGTACAAATTGAACAAGCTACAGTTAAGGAAATTGCCTAAAATATGTACTGAATTATTAAAATTGAAATAACTTAATGATAATTTTTTTAATATCATTAATATATATTTAAAACTTAAAAACATATTAAATCATTATTTATTTTGAATCTAAAATATTAATATTAACAATTTACCATTTAATTTCTCTCTTCCAGCAGCAACTTGAGTCCATTGAGCATTATTATATTTTTTCTTGCTTCTCAAAATTAAATTAGATGAACCTCCCAAACTGAGATGATAAACTATGTGACCATTTTTAAGTTCCAATGAAACATAATCTCCCTTAAATAAATAATTTTTTTAATTAAAAGAATTTAAATTATAGTTATAATGTAGGATGTTCAGAAAGTCCTTATCTATTTCAGTTAATAGAATGGTTTCTGTTGCATAGAATAAGAGAAAAATGCACAAAATTAGAAAGAATTTGAAAAACTTTCATAAACCAGTTCTTCAGATAACTGACACAACAATACAATAATACAAGTTGCTGAATATATTCAAAATAATAGGATTTGTTAATGATGAATCCAAAATTTGGATGCATGAATATATCCAAAATCTTGAAGCATGTATTACAGGGTGTCCAAAATGTTACTGAGCAGTGAGAAATTTGTAATGATATATGTACAGAGTCGTTTATGAGACCTGTAAGTTGTATGTCCCACATTTCCATGTTGTGGTAGATGGCATTACTACTTGCTCATGGATGTTCTGGTTCATGGACTGCAGTTTTTAAGAGACTTCTTTGCCAGTCATATAATTGCCTTGTGTAATCTGGCCTACTTGGTTTCTGGACCTGACTCCCCCATATTTCACAGCCTCTGACACTTTCAGCATTTGCTGTAGGAGAAACTGCAATATTGTACATAAAACTTCACTTAAATCTTTTTCACTGTACAGTACCCTTTTAAGACACCCTGTAAATGCAGCATGAGACATTGTCATAAAAGAACCGTGCATATCAAATATGTCATATACATTTGTGAACAGATGAATTGGTCAATCCAAAGCAGAGTTCAAAATCTGTACACATTATTCTTAAATTATTCAATAAATGTATATTTTATAATTAACAGAATTATCCATTATCATCCTGCAATAAATAGGAACTTTTATAAACATCCTTTTATTAGAATGTAAAATAACAAACATACATTTTTGCCAGGAGCCATAAAAAGCAAAGAATTTTCATCATATGTCTTAAACCAAATCGTAACTTGATAAATATTTTTATTGTAACGTTTTATTTGTGGCAAAATAGCATAACCATCGCCATTCAACTGATATGCACTAGAATCAATATCTTCAGTGGCACTATTAAAATATAATATTTTATAAATAAAATTAATTTTTAATATAATTATAAGCAAATCTATTTAAAATATTACAGAAAATTGTGATCCCTAATGTTATACTATACAACCTACAAATTCTTTTTATATAACAAAAACACATTAAATTTACAATTGTCACTATTCTCTTATCAAAAATTACAAAAAATGGTAATTTTTATCTAATATTTTTCATACAATTTTGTATGAAAAATATTTCCAATAATCAAATAAAATGATTAATGGCAGTTTTAAAAGGCCTTTAACCTGGTACTAATCATTTAATCACCAGGTTAATGTGACCTAAATTTCAACCAGGCCACATTAAATGACAAAGTATTGGTTATGTAAGTTTCCATTGATGTTTTGTGAATATAACTGAGTTTCAAAGAGTTTCTTTGTCTCATTTGTTTCTTTTTTCCAATATGAAGATTCCAATAATTTACTCAGTGAGTGGGTTCAGTTTTATATGGGATATCATATAGTTTAAAATCCTTCAATCATTTCACCATAAATTAATTGACTAAACAGAAAGCTATTTAAAGCATTTTATATTGTAACAATGTATTCTAATGAAGGGTACAAAAAATAGTCAAACATTAAGTAAGAATAAAATTTATTATTACTTTGAATTTCAGAAGATCCTGACTTTCAAAAAGAGAATTTCAAAAGAGAAAACCAGATGATAATTTGAAGTAAATATAGAATTTATTTATAATTATCTAAGCAGTTTTTCTTTCTTATACTTTTAACAAGGAAGTATGAAGCTTGTTAGAATTATTTATCCTTTTTAACAATTTGTGCCATTAGAAGACCCTATGGCAAGATTGTGTCACCTACTAATTGTCCTTATAATTTCTTGTTCTCTCCACATGAGGATGAAAGTGTCTAATCCCTGTTACCCTTTGTTTGTTTATGATGCTCTTAATGAATAATCACAAGACTGTCCAATACACTTTTTTTATTGTGTTACAATTATAAACTTTGAATATCCATTTAAAAAGAGGAATAATAGGTGTTTCCACTAAATCTCAACAAACTAAATGTAATTGCTTGAAGATAATGATTTTAAGACCTTGATGAGTGACAAAAGGTTCTCCAAATTTAATTTACTTTGAATTTCAGTTTAAAAACAACTTTGTCACATATTTCTAAACTGTTTTTCTATATTTAAGATTATATATTCCAAGGCTGGCCAGCCATTGTAACCAAAGTAAATGCAGGTAGCTCTTGTATCAGAAATACAAGAGCTGCATTCTCTACTGAAACTGTATTTTATATTATGGATATGTATTCCTTTATGTTTAATTATAATAAATAAATATACAGGAGCTACAGTAAGGGTCTAGAATATATCCACAGTTTGGCAACCATGGATATATTCAAACCTGCAAATAGACACAAAATATTAAATTCTAATATCTAAATGAAAATATTTTGTACCCTTCTTTGCAACCTTCACAGCCAACATTTGTTTGGAAATTCCATAAACCCACAGCTTTTCCATCTAAAATCACTTCATAAATACAAACTCCTAGCGTACGAGATTTTAGTTCTTTAGGTGCCTAGATAAAATATATAAAATGATCATATAAATCTAAATTATAACTAATGTAAATCTTAATAATATAATATATAAACCTTGTAACCAGGAGGTAGTCCTCCAATATAAAAATATGAAGAAGCATCTAAATCCATCTTGGAAAAACCTGCAGGTGATGCTCCTACAACTTCGTAAGGATCGTGCTTTTTTCCATCTGGTGTGGGTTTCACACTTAAACTAGCTATGTTACCAAATCTAAAAGATTTAAATAAAATAAATTGTTACAATAACGTTAAAATTTTGTTTACAGAAATTCATAAAATTATCTACAGTAGGGTCTTGCTTTATGGAAGACTGCAAATTTGTGTTTTTGCAGATGGAAAATAGTTTGGTTTGCTATTGGATGCATATGATGACTATACTTTTTCTATCTGTTATAATATAACATAGCATGGGAAAGTATTGTAATCATATCAAATTTGACTCCTTGGGTGTATGCAAATTTCAAACACCCAAGGATGTCAGATTTTTTACAAATAAACTTGAGTACTTTCAAACATTTCTCATCCATCTTCCAAAAGTCAAATTTCACCAATTTCATTGAATGTTAATCTCATTCAAACTTCTACTTAAATTTAAATTTCCATGTTATTAATCTCTAATGTCAATTTTAAGGATGTTTGATCCACTTTCAAAAGTAGTGACAAGGAATAATGACTTTTGAAAGTGGATGAGCATCCTTAATTAATGGCATTGGAGATTAATAACATGGAAATTCCAATTTGAATTTAAGTAGCAGTTTGAATGAGATTAGCATTATCTAGCACCTGCCATGCTCAACAAAGCAACCTGAGAAAATTTGTGGATTGAAATCATATAGTAAGCATGCATATTTAAATGTCTCATTATTAATTTTTAATAAAATTCATTAAACAAGAAATACATATTAATAAATTAATTATATAATTATTACCTTTGAACTTCAATTTTGTACCATTGCTCATTTCTTGAAAGTTGCTGATCGTTTGTTTCAATTGTCAAATTATGCTGAATGACTTGTGTTCCTCCTCCGGCATTCCATAAAAATCTAATTTTTCTGTTTACCATTTCTACTGCCATAAAGTCATCCTAATTAAATAATAATTGAATTTTAATGAGCAATAATTTGTTAAGTGAGAGTTTTTCTTTAATATATTTAAAAAATACATTAATTTCATCTAATGTTAGAAAATGTTTCTAAAATTCAAGCATTATGCTTAATGATTTGGCTGCCTTAAATATTATTGCCATTGTGTAAATAAATACGTAAAGTCAGCATTGTAACTTGAATAAAAATACAATATACAAAAAAACTAATACTTTTGCTTATTTTTTATTAAAGGTTTTTCTCTGGTAGATAGCAGAAAACCTACATTTTTTGGTATCCTTAAGCTGAAATTGTTATGGGTGCTCTATCCTGAGGGATGCACTATAGAATTATTAAGCCATGAAGGATTTGAGGATCAAGCTGCCAAAATATAAGCAATGAATAGTTTTTAGTGAGTTGATTGGGTCCATACAGTTGAGAGTTCACACACTGTAAACCATGAGAAAATTTTAAAATTTAACCAATTATGAGGACATTTTGAGGCTATATGAAATGGGTATTAGTGTATTCTAAAGTCAATATACTTCAACTCATTGGCTTACAATTATATTACTAAATAGTCTTATCTTAATAACAAACACATAAAAAAACTATTGATATTGTTGAAAAATTCATTCACTACAAAAAAGTTGCATCAGAACCTCAAATCCTGAAGGGGGCCTGAAGCATATGCTACATTAGTTTCATAGTAGATCCACCATTGCTGTTAATTTTAAGTCTGTTCTATTAATTTTAACAGAAATGGAACAAAATAATGTTTAAATATTGAAAGAAAATTAAAAATATACTTCAAATACTTTTCTATTCCAGAGAATCTGGAATAAAAAGCAAAAGCAAAGTTTTTTCTTGTATATTGTTTTTATGGAAATTATATGCCAATTTTTGTGCATTTATTTTAATTGCATAAAATTATAGCATGCAATCCTTATTATGTTATCTTTATGGTTGATATATTATAATAATTACTACTACTACAGATGAGATTTAATTAAAATATTTAACAAATCCAAAATGTCATTTAATTGATCATATGAAATTTAAATTACAAATTTATTCATAATATTTATTTTAAAAAAAAACATAGTAACAAATCATTAAAATAAACAGAAACATGCAAAACATGACAAATTTTCCATGCAATGAGTCATGCAAATTTATAAATATTATTTTCTTACTGGTATTTGGTTCGCTGGCTGTGGCAGGAAAATCATGTAAAAAATTAACTTATTATTATTAAATTCTAAAATAAAGTCTATAAAAATAAAAAACTATATTATTATTTGTTTAAAAAATATAAAATGAGAGTTAAAAATCTGATAATGTTTTCAATAAGTTCTAATGCTAAATTTAAGCTATTTATTTAATAGTTTGGCATTAAAATGAATTGAAGTTTAATAATTAAGTTTAAAATATTTAGGGAGAAAAGCATCCCAGTAAAATCTAGCAACACCTTTTTTTTAATCAAAAAATATTATACTAAACTTCACTGGTTGTCCACATGGAGAACACATATCAGGGCCAATAATGGAGGGGTTACTAAAGAAACAATAAAAAAATACTAATGTCGGCTACTCTAATTTGATATTACCATTAGTATGGTTACTGTAAAGATACCACTTTAGTACACCTAAACCAGGAAATTCTGCAGTTAACATTTGGAAGAAGATCGAATTCTACTGGCATATTTAAATTGAGAAGTCTTACACATCTGTGAAAGTCGTTTGGGTGGAGCTGCTCAGGAGTTCATAATTCTAATGTGCAGCAATGCTGAATTTAATTATTTTTAAAGCTATCAAAAATTTTATTCAAAAACACAATGATCTTCTTAATCAGATGAAATATAAATGGGTTAAAATGCTTTCAAATTTTGTTAAAATGTAAACTTTTTCTCTTGAATATGAGATGTGATTACTGAATTATACATGTTCTTAAAGGTTTTTGGTTTCAAAAATGGTTCAGTAGAATTTAAAATTATAACCTTGTGCATAAACATACAACAGTTTTAACCTGATCATTGTTTACTATTTTACACTTAAGAAAATCAAAAATGAAAATCACATATTCTATATGTGATTTGCAGAGAAATTATCATGACAAACTGCTACTCCCAAGACAAAATCTTGCATGACTGATGCTATATCTAAATTATTACATTTGGATTTATTGCCTGCTTAAATAACTTATAGTAAAGAAATAACTTTCTAAAATAATTAATAATTATTAAAATTGACTAGGTGGTAACACAGTTAAGTATTAGTAACCATTGTAGGAGATCTATATTCAATTTGAACCAAGATCTACAAGACAGAATGATTCAAGATATTCTTCATCTCATTTATTCTGGTAAACCCCATTGCAGACAGGTTGGCCATATACCTTGATATAGTGGTGCCTTGGTATCATGCATCAGTCAATTAATCCATATTAAATAATAAAATTTAATATGAATAAATAAGAAATATGTTAAAAATAAATAAAACAGAATAATGATGAATGAATGAATGTTTTATTATAAATTCTTAAAAATAAATTTTGAATAGCTTTAATAATATAATTTAAAAAATAAAATAATTAAAATAATGACTTACTGTTTTAGAACTTCCTAAGAATAATAACAGACTATTTTGATTTTCACTCTTTACGGCAAAATTAATAATTATATTATTTGTCGTCGTTGGCTCAATATCGGGTTTGAAAGATCGTACACATTTATTTCTCTTAGAACCAATTGATACACGAATCTGAAAATATATTTTTTTAACTATAATTCAATAAGTCATGATTTGAAATAGTTCTTAAATTTTCATTAATGGAATATAATAATTTAATCAAAGTAAATTTTATTTATAATTAGCTGAAAAGAAAATAATAAAACTAAAAACTATAAATAATAAGATAAAAGAGAAGAATAGACATTTAGAGAAATGAATTAAAGTATTGAAACAAAATTCTAAAATATATGAAACATTAAAGCAATATAAAATAACACAGTCATTTTAAACTAAATTTCTAAATATTTACTTGACATTACAAAAATTACTTGCTTAAGACACAATAAGAGACTTAAGACACAATAACCTGATATAACAGACCACCATGGAATTCAGGAGATTTGTCCATTATAATGAAAGTCCATTTTATCATGTTTACTTATTATTATAGATTCATCCATTATATTGGAAAGTCCATTAATATAGAGAATCATATTAGAACAGATATTGATAATGGACTTGGAGAAAATATCTACAGTTTGTTTTCTCCAGATCCAGATGATAAAAATCAATGTATTTTTACTTCATTTCAGTAGATCTGTTACCACAGATATAAGTGGGATTCTAGTGTATTGTACAGTTCATAGTAGTAATGACTTGTTAATGTATATTGATGATATGGACAAAACTCAATTATGTAGAAGATGAAATTTCAGTTTTAAAGGATATAAGCTAGATTTTTATTAAACTTGTAAAAACAATATATCTACCTATCAGTAAATCTAAAGCTTTTCAATTTCTTTATGATCTATGGTTTTGCTTTACATAGTAAATCCAAGACTCAAGAAAACAAAACTAGATGTAATGTGAAAATCTAGTTTTAAAAAAATGCTTAAAAATGAATTTTATATTATTTTTGTATTTATTTTTTGTAAATAAAATAAAATGACAACTAAGACAAAATAAAATGGAGAATAAAAAGTCTGTAACAGAAGGACAGCAGTCTGTGGGACCTGAAAAATAGTCTATAGTAGCAGAAATCCATTATAAAGGAGACTTACAGAAAATGAGTTTTCTTATAATTTTCCTACACTTTTGGCCAGACCAACATCAGCTTGCATAATAATGCAAGGTCCGTTATATCAGGGTCCATAATATTGAGCTTTTACTATATTAACATGAATTATTTTTTTTTGCAAATATTAAATGCATTTGTTAAAGAACATTTACATAAAGAACAAAAGTTAACAACTACTAGTCAATGTAAAAAATAAAGATGAAGAGAATATACCAGATTACTTGTAACTAAGTGTCCCAAACTGAAATAAATATAAACTGAAGTGTTTAAATTTGTGTCTATGTCCAAGATTAGTCATATGCATCAATCAGTCTCTTTTAATCCATATGATGATATTGCAATCAAAGGAAAACAGTCAAGTGTATTTTCTGGGTGAATCCCAGATATTATTATTCTGTGTCTACTAATAGAATATACCAAACATACAAAACAGATACACATAGTTGTAAAGACCAAGATAATCCATGTTAGTGATAAGTTTTCTACATCAAGATCTACTTTTGAATTTTCTATCATGTTAAAAAGTCACGTTATTAAACAGTCAAAAATAAAACCTTTTTTTTAACCAGTAATTGAACTTAAACTTCCAAACATTTTTGGCCTTCACCAAGACCTGCTTCAGGTAATGAACTAAACTGGCTTTCAAATTGAATGAACCATTAGAATGATGATGTTCAACTTTAAAGTTTGTATATATCAAATTTCATGCGTCTGATTGACACCATTCCAATTTCTCGAACAGGTATTTCCATGCATGCGCCACAGTCTCACTGTCTTTAAAGTTAATACAGTTGCCTTTTAAGTTGGCTTTATAAATTTCAAAGGCCTCCAGGTGACTCACATTATTAATTCAAAATGTCAGATCACATACAATAAATCAACATTACTGGTAGCTGTCAGAAATGTAGCAATAATGAAAATGCTACAAAATCCAGATTATGGTGTTATGACATCACAAATCTCTAAGCAGTACCACAACAAATAATGTTCATTTGCCATTTTTTTATGATGTGCTGCACACATTCATCCACCTTTATTTCGTAAATCTTTCTTTTAACATGATACTGGTGCAGTAGAATATTAAGACTCTGATGCTTTAATTTTGAGATTACTTGCTGATACAGTGGTCTTATCACTCTTATTCTCCTACACTCTTAAAAATGTCCAAATTAAGTTATGATGGATAATATTTTATTCTACTTAATTTAACATGAAGAAATGAACTACAGCATAAATGTTATTGATATATGTATTAGTAAGTGACAACACTTGTTTTGTTTTAGCATTTCTTCGTAAGAAACAAAAAGAAAATACTTACACTAGATGCTTTTTGACGAGCTAATAAAATTTTATCTTTTAACTCTTTAAGATTTAATTGCATTCTTGCATGTGTATTTGAAACATTATCTTTAACTTCATCTGCAATGTCTGCTGTTTTTGATGCTCCTTTTATATCTGATCTTGCTTTTTCAACTATTGAAATAAAAAAATTATTGATAAATAATTAAATATATATTTTAAGAATGAACTATTAGAAAACTGTATTACAAAAATCAATGTCAGAATTTAATTTATTCAAAAAACATTTTTATAAAACTGATTCACTTAATAGATTAATCACATCTTTTTAAAGGACATATGTCATATTGAATAAATTTTTAAGAAAATGCAAATGAAAGACTATTTAAAACCCAAACTACATAAAATTTTTTTTCTTCTCTGGTTTAAATCTCATTGTCCAGCTATAAACTGATATTATATTGAAAAAGTTATAAGTTGACGTGCAAATTAATTTTTTACTTAATTATACATTTATACTTTTACCTTTTATATCCTTATGACCTTTTAAAAAAAATTTGATTAAAATCTAAAAATTTTTTCAATCAAAAATTGAATGTTTTCAAGAATTTATGTTTGAATAAAAGCCCATACCTAACTTTAGGTAAAATGCTATTAACCAGTATCTATTACTTCTAAAATCTAGTACAGACAATGCTAGACTGCTACATTTCTCTATACAGTATTTTAGTATGAATCAATCTGCTACTAGTCAAATTTCCAAAAGTCAATAATATTTTAAATTTAGTGAGAAATTTCATCACAAACTTGGGCTATTAATACTTATTTTTACACTTAAACTGTACATAATAGGCCTATTGCTGTATAAAAAAAAGAAAAATACAAGTCATAATTTGTTCAGTTTGTCCTTCTAGACCCCCAATGATTTATTCCTGGCTACAGGACTGATATAGATTCTTTGGGTCCATCATGAGATAGATGAATGTTGAAGGATAAAGACAGACATATCAAAGTCAAATAACTCATGAAAATTTCTGAGGATTTGAAGTTATTTCAATTATATCTCTAAAAAAATATTTAAACAATTATATAATTGTTTATAATAATTTTCTTCTTTTTTCCCCTTCTTTGACTTCATAATAATCTCATAGGAACACAGAAATGTCTTAGACTAAAGTCTGAGTCCCTTGGAAAAATCAGTTGATGGTCCAAATGATAACCTAGGCCAGAGGTGGTGAACTAGTGGCACATAAGGAGAAATCATATGGCATGTATACATATCATATAATTTCAATTTATCGTGTCTTTTTAATCATCCTTTTGGTTTATCACCTGATCCTCCTTCTTTTAAACAGCTTTTTTACATTTATTCTAATTAAAGCATATATTCATTTAATTTATTTAAATATTATTCAAAGTCTAAAATTTTGACATGCATAAATATCTTTAAAGCTGAGTATATGGCACACAGGCTCAAAAAGACCTAGGCCATCCATCTGTCAATCATCAATAGTATATCTTTAGTATACAGTCGACCCTCCCTATAACATGGGTTCCTATAATGGAAATTCCTATAACGTAGCGAAAAAATTGCGGCAGTATTCGTATAAAGGGACTCGTAAAACGTCGTCGCCGACTCGTGTCGCGACAAGATTGGTCAAATCTGGACCAATAGTGGATGAGCAGCCGAACTACTTTCCGCCGTCCTGCGCCACGCTACGGAAAGTTTAGGCAGGTAAATTGAGTTTGCCATCGTCTGTACAGTATTATATATAAATTATATATAAATTAGGTACTGNCGGTATCTGTACAAACATGGTAAAAAACTCCTATAATTCGGTAAAATGTCATCGGGCAGCCGAACTACTTTCCGCCGCCCAGCACCACGCTACAGAGAGTTTAGGCGAGTAAGTTGAGTTTACTATCGTCTGTACAGTATGTAAATTAGGTACCATAAGTCTAATACAGCACTAATTTTATACATTTCTTGTGAAAGAAACATTTCTTATTCAATGGCCATAAAAATTTTTTCTATTAATGATGTCTCCAAAGGTCAACAAATTTTTCGCAGAAAAATAATTTATCAGAAAACGCGGCCGCCGTTTGGTGCGCTGCTCCGCGACGAAAACAAGCGTAAGCAACAGCATAGTCGAACAGTGCACACTCGGTAAGTAATCCTACAATTTTTTGTTTATAGCATAGTTTATACGGATTATTCCCAAAAAATTATACATGTTTTACAAATGTTGAGTTGAATTAGTCTAGAATTGGTTAATTTTATAGAAGAAAACCTTTCAAACAGCCTTAGTCCGTAAACTTCACATGTGTCAGGCTGTGATTGGCTCATGTATTTAAGGATTCCTACAACGTAAAATTCTTATAAAGTGGAACATATCTAAGCGTTATAGGGGAGTCTACTGTACTGTCTTCCACTTTAAGCAATTTTTAAAAAAATTATTGAATTTTTCAAATTTAATTTATACTTGTTTAACTTTCTTGAGATTTTGATTCAAATAAATTATATATCAATTGATATTTTCTTGTGAAATCATCCATAAATTACATAACACTGTTTTTATATTTTTCAAATACCTTTTCACTTCCTATAATCCTGCTTAACACTATTGTGAGGACTTGGACTCTTTTGGGGAGTTTTAGAAGTTTAAACATGTATAAAATTATTTTTGTCATTATTTTATTTTCCTTCCTGTTTTGTTGGCATTCGACCTTTTGACCTATCAGTGTACTGCATCACTTCAAAAGGTGACCTTCTAAATGTCTTGAAAGTTCTCCCCTCACACCAGGGGAATATTCATTTCCACCTTCATGGCAACGTACAAATAAGTAACCAATTAACAAGAACCTCCACCTGTTACATGGTAGAGAGTAGCAAACAGGTGGCCTGCAGAGGTTTTGATCTTAGCCATCGGCGGCAATTAATTTAAGAGGTTGACAGCTGTTGTCAAATTTATGATGGGAAGATCTCACAATAACGGTAGAAAAAACAATAAATCAAGAGAAGCATTTGATTCACATAAACAACTCTAGTCGCAAAGGTGATTGCATCAGAATTTCCCCCAATGAGTCCTTCTCTGTGACGGGTATAAAAAGGGGTTGCACTTGTACCTCTGGGGGGACAGCCAAGAGGACACAGCCAAGGAGCGGACAGCCAAAGCGGACATCAGGGAACACTAGACCCATACTGCCATTCCGTCCGTTGCAACCCCTGCCTTCCCACCATAATCTCCAACCTGAAGAGAAGGGAGACTACAATTAGGAACCGCCGATCCCCAAGCATTTTACCAACACCCAATACAACGAGTGTGGAAATACATGAGTCTATCAATTAGCAAATTGCAATACTCTCTCGTTTCTCGTCACTCTCTCGATCATAGCTTACGATTTGCAAATATTATATCTTTAGAGTTAGATCTAGGTAGTTTTATAGCTTTATTAGACGAATTATGGTAACCTTTATGTTTTGTATTCGTTTGTATAAGTTCATATAATTAAATATGTTTTTATATTAAATGCTGTGTCATCCTGGAGTACATCCAATCTCACTACCCTACCCCACTCACTTTTTGCCCTCCTATGTGGCCATCTTTGACCGAGCCACTAGTAAGTGGGGAGAAGTTAGACGCTCTACCCTCTTGGTTCTCACACTATCATACACAACCATCTCAAACTTATGTAATGCATATCCTTGATCAACCCCTTTAATTGTATTAATGAGTAAGAAATAAAACATAGCTTGAATTACCAAACATTACATGTTACATTATTTTATTAATTGCATGTATAAGCAGTGACATAAACAGTATGATTCATTACACAACACTTCAGAAACAAAAATGAATAGTTCTGTTACCCAAGAGTTGAGCCCTAGCATTATGTAACTTTGTAATTCATCCTAATGCATATCCACTGTTCTATATGTTATATCTGTGTTACATAATTTATGAACAGTTCCTGTTACTTAATGATTAATTTATACTTAATTCCTGTTTTTTAATCATTTATAAATTAAAGATTTATATACAATAAAATTTTAATTACTCTTCCTTAAGTAAGTTCAATTAAATTTGAATAAAATAAATTAAAATAAACTTATAGAAGAATGCATACTTATTTGTGTGAAATTTTCTAAACCAGCTTTAGTGCCTGTTGTCAATAAGTCAAGTCGTGGATATAATTCTTTTTCAATAAGGTCATTGATCTCATCAACTTTCCTCTTTCCTTCATCTATTTTAACAGCAGCTCTTTGTTGTTTGACTTCTGCTTGTCTTAGTACATCAGGTATACCTTTTAGATAAATCAATTTTAAAAATCAATTACTTAATTTATTACCTCTTACATCAATTTATACCAATTAACTAAATTACTTAATTATTTACCTGAATGAAGTCCATCCAAATCACGATTAACAATATCAAGACCTCTTTGCCCTTGACGAAGAATTCTCCCTATTGCATCTAGAGCATGCCTTTTTCCAAATAAAAGTTCATCTAATTCTGAACAAGAATATGAAATGTAATGTATAAATTTTTCATAACAAAAGAGTACAATAATAATAAATTGATAATTCAAATTATTATCTAAGTTTATAAAATATTTTTCATTTGAACCTGTTCCATGTAACTGTTTTAAATTACAGTATATGTTGCTTAATTTATAGATTTAACTATAAGTAACTAAATAGTTTTAATGCTGTACTGTAAGAATTTAGAAGTTATATTTCATTGGTGTGCCATCCATGGAAACTGTGGAAATGGAGCCACAGTATTTTGTATTTAGAGCATGCCTTTTTCCTTGTATATTATGTATTTTTTAAAATATAAATACATATTGTGTGATTATTTTCATATTTTAATGTACTTTGAATTAATTAAAATTAATACTTCATTATAACTGCATTATGTATCTTATTACAAATTGCTATACTACATGTGAAAAAAAATGATAAGATTGCTATTGTATATTCAAATATAAATTCGTATATGCATATTTCGAATGGAAGCACTGTATTGTCGAATACGGGATAGCTTCCATGGCAAAAATATCTGAATCGTGTAAAGCAGCCAGATTATATACATTTGTGCATGCACTTTACAGAGCATCAACCTCATGTGGTTTAGCTGGTGGATGCTATATACCAAAATATTGTATAACGCTTCCAATGATTCTACCCAGGGTCGGCACAGCTTCCCTATCATCAAATGTCACTGCACGCCACTGATATATTTCAAAGAGAAGTTGTTTGGTCTATATACAAGAAAATTACAAAAAAAAAAAAGTTAAGTTTAAAGTCCAAATAGTTAAATGACTTCACAGATTTCTGTAATTTTAGGAATATATCAGATTTTAATTAAATCTAAAAAACCTAAAAGAAATATATTTCACATTTATTAAAGAAACTTTCACCATTTAGACAATTTACTTCATCAGATTAAGATTTACTGCACACATTAAGAACAATTGAGAAGACCATAGTGATGTTTGTTGTTGATATGTGTTAAGACTGACCAAACCTTGTCATGATAGGAGCCATATAACAGCTATCAAGATAACAAAAACCACATTCTTTATTGAAACTATATTTTACTTTTATATACATATATATATATATAACATGAGCCTCATATGGCTCACAAGCTGTGGTTTGGCTACCATGGATTCCATAGAGTGATAGAATAGCATTTGAAAATTCCATAATGATAAAAAGCAATCTCATTATGTACGAAATTTGAGAATATTTTAAATATTTTAGAGATGACTAAGAAATCCATAAACAAAGATCAAGATTATCTTAATATTTATTAATGTTTTAATGTTGGTTCCAGTAATCTTGATGGGCAGTGTTATTTTTATGTCTAAAGAATTCTCTCGCTTAATTCTTAAAAGAAATATTTCTATTTCAATACATTGCTTTAAGTTTTGTTGTAGAAAAAAAATAAAACAAGATAGCAAACCAAACTATTATTATTCACTTATTTTCTTAAATATAGTAGCTTATTTAATCTATAAAGATTCATACAAATATGAATAACCATAAATAAAATTCAGATTTCAACTTAATATAATTTATTAATTATTACCAGGAACATCTTCATTTTTTAATACTTTTGCATCTTCTAATAATCTCAAACTTTCATCTTTAGCTTTTTCTGCTTTTTCAGGAAGATTAGTATCAGCTATGGGATAAGCCTAAAATTATAAAATTATAATTATGTAATTTTAAGCATCAAACAAAATCAAGCTATTATTTAATTTTGTATTGTTCTTTTAAAATTTTCTCAACATATTTATTAAATTTGATATATTGTTTAACACATTCACTGTCCTCTTAGTAAGTGAAGTCTTTAGCTGTGTTCCAAAAAAATTATGCATAACTGTTTTATTAATATCTACTCTATGTACAGTACAGTAAATATTAATACAATTTTAAACTAAAATATCTTAATTTTAATACGATTTTAATCTAAAGTATTTTATATATATAATACTTCAGATTAAAATTGTCAGAAATGTTTTATCATCATGAAACAAACAAAAAAAATGTGGCACTGAAATTGATAAAGCTTCACAAAATTTTTGTTATGAATAATGTATATTGGGAACAAGAGGGAAAAATCCATAGGGCAAGTGAGCAAAACAAGTAAAAGGTTGAGCTGTTGTAGTTGGCAGGGAGCCTTTAGTACAAAATAATAATAATAAAAAAATCAATGGATATAATATAAGCTTAGAAATTTTTAAGAAACAAGTTATTTATTTATTGTTTATTATAAACAAATAATAAAATTTTCAAGTTTAAAACATGGCAAACTTTTATTACACTCATGAGAGTGGTTGGCACATGCAGTAATTCAGTGTAGACCACTCCAAGACATCACTGACAGTGAACATGTTAAATGTTCAATTTAGTAAATTACTGAAATTTCAATTTGTTAAGTAATTGTTGGGAGCAATATAATAGTTTAACAAGAAAAAACCCTGTATTCAATGTTAAAGATTTAAAATAATAAAAAAATAAAATATATTTTAGAAAATTTAAGATAATTTAAAACAAAATTTACTTGACGATATGCATTTTCAGCAGCATCATTGGCTTTGTGAGCAGCTTCTTTGGCAGCATTAAGAGCATCAACAATAGACTGGTATGATTGAGCTGCTTCTTTTGGCAAGACAGAGACTGCTCTTGTAGCATTAAATAAACTAAAATATATATGTAATTAGTTATTCATACAAATTTTTAGTGAGTATATTTAAAACATGATATAATAAAATTTTATAGTCATAAACAGGGTTTACAATGACATATAAGCATGTCCAGACATAGCCTAAAGCCTCAGAAGTGCTTAAAGTGACTCTAATTATACTTACATTAATTATATAAATATACTGTACATACGTGATAATTCAAACACCAAAACAGTTTGAATATTATAATTTTAAACCTCATCCAAACTGCCAGTTTTTCTGCAAATTTAAACTCCTGTCCCATCAAGTCATCAAGGAAATCTATTCATCATTATTGCATGGATGATATAGATGGCAACATGACTTTAGCCACTTGTCCCAGCATCCAAGAAGCAACAAAAATCTGAAACTCCAGAGTTAGCCAGTCAGTTTTGGGATACAAAATAAGGGCTGTTGGAGAGATCCATAGGGATAACACAATCAGAGAACTTATTCTGAAAGTTGAGTGTTCCAAAAAGTCTTGGTGCAATCAACCCTAACAGATAATTATTTTGGACTCTTTTTGGTCTATTGGATTTTTCCAGGTGATTTTGCTGAACTTCATCCTGTACAAGTGATATTTATCACTATCATTCTCTCTCTCTTTCTGTCTCTTCTATCTTGGGTTAGGCACCTAAGATCCTGTTATGCATACTCTGTAATCCTGCTTAGTCAATAAAACCATTAATTTACCATATCTGAGTATTGTCACTTTCTATCAGACCCATGTAATATTCATCTTAAGGCATGTCATCATTAAATGCTATGGGTTTGCATAGGTCAACCATTCAGACCTGACATAATCAAATTAAAACAGCCAAACTTCTTTTAATTACCATTAATATAAAAATAAATTATCATTAACTTACATATTGTATAATATAATAATAGTTAAAATATTTTTAAATTTAAATTATTTGCAACAAATGCTAAAAAAAATAAAATTTTTACTAACCAAATATCAATATACAAAGTAAATATAAAATTTTTACATTTACTTTATTCTATTAAATGCCTATGAGTTATATCAGTATTTAATTTTTAATCCTAATGACCAAAATAAACTAATTTACACATACTGAAAATATTAAATGTTACTTTAATCATTTATTCTACTCACTTCACTAGATGTTCTGCTTGTTTTTCTAAATATTCAGCATGTTTTTGAGCAGGAATGACATATTTTTCCTTATACAATGGATTCAAACGAGATAAAATACTAAATTTTTCTTCCAGTTCATTTGTAGCATTATCCAATTCTCTTGAGACACGTCCCAAGGACTAAAATATTATTTATAAATTACAATTATATTTATTTTAATGTTACAAAATCAGAATTTAAATACAGAAGACTTTAAAATAAACCTACATCATACTTGACATCGGCATCAATGACAGCATTTCTAGCTTTTTCTAATATTTTATCTGCATCTGTTAATGTTTTATTGGCTTTAGCTGCTACCTCAAGTATCTTATCAATAGCATCCTAATAAAATATACATAATTTATGTAAAAGTTATAAAATTATTATAATTCTAATATCATTAGTTCAAAAATAATATATGTATAAAAATTTATAACTGATTATTTACATACTTGTATTTCTTCTAATGCTCCACGTGTACCTTGAATAATATTTTGAGCTTGATGGGTAGGTTGTTTTACATCTTCATTAATTAACTTTATACTATTAATTAATGCATGTTCTAATACATCTAATCGATCGCGCAAGTCATCTAAATGATCTCTGTCAAGCGTTAAACCTTTAACTCGTTCTAACAGATCACGGGCTTTTCTGAAATAATATGAAAATTAATTACTTTATTAAAGTTTCTAAATTTTTCTTTTTGGTATAATATATAACATGTGTGATATACAAATTAAATGAAAAATGCATTCAAGAAACAAAATTTATATAGTTTAATTTTAAAACTATGAAAATAAAAACTGTCTAAATTGAAGATCAACAATGTTGATATGTTCTTTAATCTCTTTTATATGAAATAACTATACTTTCCTACTGTAGTTATGGTAACACACAAGGAAATGGGAAATATGTTGGAGGACTAATTAGATTGCATTGGAACCAGCCATATTTACATAGTTATCATTGAGAGAATGGAGACTGATTTTGCCAACTAATACTGATAGTTCATACTGTGAGAAACCAAGGGTATAGGTATGTTACCTATATCACTTACTGGCGCACAATCGTGTGATCGGCTCTCAAAACTTTTTATGGGGGCGAGAAAAATGTTTATTAACGATCTAGAGCAGTGTTTCCCAAAGTGGGGCGTACGCCCCACACGGGGGCAATTTGATGGTTGGAGGGGGGCAATTTGAGAATTGACATGACATAATTTCTTCCCTTCGCTATGAGCTTTTTTAATGCAACGCTTTAGGTGACAAATAATATGAAAAAGAAAATTTTCTAAATAGAGGACTTAAATTATTAATAAGCATTTTTAAGATGGTATCAAAACCTAAACTATGTTATTAGAGTCCGCAAGTGAACTTTTCAGTGTTTCCCTTTGCTGTATCTCTTGTCGCAGAAATCTTGTATCTTTTAAAGTCGCTAAGTAACAACGTTTTTGCAAAATTTTTTTCTAAAAATTTAACTCTAATATTTTTAACACCTATATGTCATAATTGTCTGTCATTTATATGATTAAATGAATTAATTAATACATGTTGTAGAAATATAATTTTTACGTATTGAATAATTTATGTTTATTTTTTAACCATTTAGCTTTTTATATAAGTTTTTAAACTGTAAAACTATTGATAATATTTAAAAACTAATTAATTGTGCCTTTTTTGTTAGTTTAGATATCTCTAATAGCAGTGTCTTTGATAAAGGAGTCCAGAAGTATTAAAATCTTGCAATCTGGTCTGCTGGAATCTTCAGGGCTTGCGTTTATCCCAAGTATCACTTGCGGCAAAATGTGTTATATCTACACAAAAACAATTTTTTCTAAATTTACGTTTACTCTGTCACATTGAATTATTTTTACAAAATTTTATTATTTTTTTAGCCCATAAAAAATGAGTGGAACAACAAAAAAGAAAGTTCGTCAATATTCAGAGGAATATCTAAAATATGGATTTATACCAGCAGTTCACGATGAGAGGATGCCGTTTTGCTTGATATGCCAGCAATGTTTGACAAACGAATCTATGAAATTGGGTCGGCTTGAAGCACATTTGAAGGCCAAACACAAGGACTATATTAATTCAGATTTAAGTTTCTTCAAAACATTAAAGGAAAAGTTCGAGAAAAGGACGACAATTACTTCAATCTTCACGTCTAGAAATGTAACAAATAGTCGTATTCAAGAGGCTAGTTACCAAATTTCATTGTTAATTGCTAAATCAGGGAAAAGCCACACAATAGGGGAGAATCTTATAAAGCCCTCAATTTCTGCTTTTATGAAAACTGTTCTAGAAAAAGATGACGAGGATGTAAAAGCGATGCCTCTCAGTAACAATACTGTCAGCCGAAGGATCGACGAGATGGGCGAAGACATTGAGAAACAACTCGTATCGAAACTAAAAACCAGAAATTTCTCTGTGCAGATGGACGAGTCAACCCTAAGAGACAGTGAGGCCGTTCTTATCACTTATGTCAGGTATATTGAACGTGGACAGTTTGCAGAAGAAATGCTTTTTTGTAAACAATTAGAAAGCACTACCAAATCGAGAGACATTTACAACATATTCAAATGCTACTTGGATGACAATGAGATCCCCATGAAGAATGTTATTTCGTGTGCTGCCGATGGTGCCCCCAATATGATGGGCAAAAAAAATGGTTGTTTACAATTGATGAAAGCTGATAATCCAGAAATGATACTTATTCACTGTGTTATCCATAAAGAAAACTTGGTGGCTAAAAACGTGTCTCCTATTCTCAATGAAGTACTCAATGCAGTTATCAAATGCATTAACTCAATAAAAGCCAGCGCTAAAACCGAGCGCTTATTTAAGCTATTTTGTGAGGAACAAAATGAAGACCACGTACGATTGTTACTACACACTGAAGTAAGGTGGCTTTCAAAAGGGAATTGTTTGAAACGATTTATTGAGTTGTTCGATTCGCTTGAAAAGTTTTTAATTGATAAGCCTGAAATGAAATTATTGTTGACAACAAATGGCAAAGCATATGTAAGTTATTTAGCCGATATCTTTGAGAAGCTAAATTTGTTAAACAAGCAACTGCAAGGACCAAACAAAACACTGGTTGATGCCAAAGCAAAAATATTTGGTTTTATTAAGAATTTAGAATTAAATCAAAAACACGTCAGCAACAAAAATTTTGAACAGTTTCATTGGCTTAACAAGTGTGATGTTTCTGACTCCGCAATACTTGAAATTGTTAATCATTTAAAAATTTTAATTACGGATTTTAAAGAGAGATTTGCTGATTTAAAAGAAATGAATTTTCCGACATGGATGGTGCAACCAGTTTTGGTGGATTTAGCTGATATATCCAATCTGCAATATCAAGAAGAACTCGCGGAGTTGCAAAGTGACGAATCTGTAATAACTCTATTTAATATTAAAGGTGCGATGGCATGGCTTTGCGATGAAACAGAGGCTAAATACCCCAATACCACAAAATGTGCAAGAAAACTCTTATTACCGTTTCCATCTTCATATCTAGCTGAATGTGGCTTTAGTGCTGTGAGTGATTTGTTGATTAAAAAAAGAAATCGTCTGGATATAACACAACGTGGAGATTTGAGACTTAAGCTAACTAAGCTTGAACCAGATATAAAATCGCTGTGTAAAAAGCATCAAGTCCACAAATCACATTAAAGTAAGTTTTTAAAATCTATTATTTTTTTATTTATTAAAAGTTCGTTTCTTTGTTTTGACAACAGTTGTAAGAAATCGCTTTAAAATTATCATTCATATTACTAAAAAGAACAAAAATAAATTTTATAACTAAAATTATGTATGGGGGGACATGATGATTTTAGAAATGTTAAAGTGGGGCACGGCCTAAAAAAGTTTGGGAAACACTGATCTAGAGGGTGAATTCTAGATCTTGTCAGGTCCCGACACCAGTTTGTCAATTATTCGATCCGCGGACAAACACGCGTGTGATTTGTTTATAGATCTGATTCAAAGACTCTAAAGGAGACATTCTTTAACAAATAAACAAGAATAAATTTAATTAAAACATAAGTCAATAAAAAATAGTACAAATATATGGTAGTAAGAGACAATGAACACAAATTACAACCTATAAGTCGAGAGAGATATGGACTTATACTTAACCGATATATGATCGAGAGAGAGAGAGCTTACAATATCGCTATTAAACATACAACCTGGTTTAGTTGTCTTTCGTCTTCTTCATCAGTTGGCAAAGGCACTTCTTTTATAAAGTTTTCAAACTTCATTCCATGGGAGGTCGAAATGCGCACAAAATTAAAGTATATCTTCTAAGCGCTAACTCTAGATTTATTCTATGTGACTTGTCTAAGGGCGTTGGCCATCAGGAGAAATATGTGTGGAGTCCTGACTCTTCCAGGTCTGTCGATGAACTCCCCGAATTCTGATAAATTTCCTCTATATCTGACGATCGGCGATCAATCATCATACAAAGATTCTTCTGTGGGAACGGACGGAAAGGGGAATAATTGAGGGGTAAACATTTCCCATCGAAAAGAGATTTCTAGCAGATAATGGAAAAACAGAGGATGTTCTAACTTCCCTAGAAGGAAGTAGCATCTGTTATCTATCTTTCCCATGCTAAAACGTTATTTTTCTCACCCGAACGAAAGAATATTTTATAACAAAAATTTAATATTATTTTGAAATTATTAATTTAGACCCAGGGCCTATTCGGATCTCACAATACAAAATACAGTCAAGAAGGGTGAATGGAGATTCATCCTTTTTATATTGCTGTATTTCTCTTAATTACAAAAAATATATTATGTTTTTTTGGTGTTACGACTGTCAATTACTCAGTGGACTTAAATCCCCAGCTTTGCCCAATCAGAATAATAACAAGTTAATAAGGCAGACTAGTTAAATTTGAATTTTGAATAATAATATTATGTAAAAATATCACAATATTTCTCAATTTAAAACATAGAGAGTTCAATGGAGTCCTTTCTCCTATTGTTAAACATGCTAAAGTAGCACATTCATGATATCTAGGTTAATGATATAAAATTCTTATTCAACAATACCACAAAATTCAAATTTAACCACTCTGCCTATAATATTAGATTGATAAAATATAATAATAATAATTAAAACACACTTCAATTCCTTTTCTGCTTGTCTCCTTTTAGGTTCAAAATCTCTCTTTTTTAATTCTCTTAGAATTCTTTCTGCTTCATCTAACAATCTACCAGTAGTTGATCCTGGTCTGCTTGGATCTTGACCATGTCTTTCCAATTGAGCAACTAAATCTGAAATACAGGAAATCCTTGTTAGTTTGAAATTCAAGGAACAAAATAACTACGACTTTGAATTATCGAGTTTAAAATTATCCAAGATTTACATATTTCTGTACAATATGCCAAATGCCATGCATCCAATGCAATTTATTAAGAAAATGGAATACAGTTAGGTATATAGAACCTAATTAATTAATTAATTAATAATAATAGAATTTCACAGGTTACTAGATAAGTTTTATAAAACATAAAGCAGAATTCCTCGAAATGTAACAAAAATTATTTCTAAAGTGGCCCAAAAAATAGTAAGTTACCCAAATCTAGTAGCCTAGAGCCCTACAAATATCTCAATTTGTTACTTATAGCCCAGTCTTGTAATCCTGAAAATCAACTGTATTTTATGAGGTAAGAGAAGAAAAAGTATTCAATGGGTAAGGTGACACCCAAAAATGTATTACTGTAATAGCAAAGACACATTGATCAGATTAATGTTGTTCTTGGACTATTATTCTCTTATAATATGGAGACACTTTGATCTAAACAAATGAGTTAACATGCACATATCATAGTTCAGACAGAATTTTCACTTCAAACTTCAAAATAGCCATATTTCAAACTAATTGAATTCCTTATCATGTAAATCTCTACATCCCTGGCTGGAACAAATAGTACAGTTATGAATTGATGGAATTTTGAACTATCTGAGCTCAAATTATCGAGGATTTCTTGTAGTATAAGTACTATAAAATATATTATTAAAACATTATCTTAAAATTACTATGATAAAGATCTATGAGTATAATTAAACTGTAAATCAAATGATAGACCAATCTGCTGAATTTTACTGCCTACTTTTTATGATAATTGTAAAAATTAACAATTGAATAAATTTGTCATTATTTATAAAATGACTAATTGATTAATTAATTTATGTATGCATCAGCTCATTGAGAATCTGGCTATGGTCATCACAGATAAGTTCTTACACACAATGGAGTTAGTTAACATAAGGAAGGAAGGTGGAACAATGGTTCAAGCTTTTATACGTAACAAATTATAAAAATCTGAATTGATCGCAAATTGAGATCTTTACAATGGGAGGTTCAATAAATTCATTAATTTAAATTATATTATATTAAATTAGAATATAAAGAAATTACATATAGATTTTGAGAAAAATTCTTTATTAATGTTATAAAATTTTAATAAAAAATTTTCTTGAGGAGAATCATTTAAGGTACATAACCTATAAAAATCTAAACTGTACATAAACTGAGATAACGACTGTTCAGGTGTGACAAAAGTGTTAGACTGCTACTCTGAGGGACTGAAATTTGAGCATGAATGCATCCTCAGAACATTTCAGGTGTTTCAGATATTCCTTGTTTGTAATCACTGAACTGAACAACCATGGGTCTGGTTAACAATCATGGATCTTGGTGGGCATGAAAAAAAGCCTTCCTACTATTCACATAACAGAATAAATAAAATAATTAAAAAAGAAAGAAAAAATATTAAACCAAACTTAAATAACTGGGTGAAGTGACAAGATCATTCATGCAAATTTCTGAGAATCTGACTGAAATTCAGTCTAAATCTGTCAGAGTGTACACTTTAACCATTTCAACCATCAATAACCATTATATTTTTGTTTTAATTAATAATTTTTTTCTGAGGAAGACTTTTGTTAATAATATAGCCTTCCCATTTTATACCAAATAAATAAATAATAAATTAAAATTATTACCTGCAAGTTGTTTACGTAAATTTTGGATTTCTTTTAACAATTCATTTGCATCCAATAATTCTCTTTCAGCATTAGAAGCTATTAATATAGCTTTAGCTGCCATATCCCTAGACTATTTAGAGAAAATAATTATAATTAATATTACATATGACAAAGATTAATATTTATACATTTTTAATTTTTACCTCTACAAATAATATATCTGCTAAACTTTCCAGATCAAAGTATATCGTAAAGTTATCAATGAGTTTCTTTCCAAAAGCAATTCTTTTTACATATATATTTACCGGTTCCTATTTTTAAAGTATACAATTAAAGAAAACAGCATAAATACCAACAACAGATTTAAAAATTAAAACAATATAATTACAATTAGTGCTTTCGATTGATTTTGAAGTGAAAGTAAATAGGCCCAAGGAATAACTGATATATTTGATAAGTCGACTTTATTTAGTAGGTCATTCATATAATCTAAATCTGCAAATAGTGCTCCAGTACACTCACTTATTCAACAATACCACAAAATTCAAATTTAACCACTCTGCCTATAATATTAGATTGATAAAATATAATAATAATAATTAAAACACACTTCAATTCCTTTTCTGCTTGTCTCCTTTTAGGTTCAAAATCTCTCTTTTTTAATTCTCTTAGAATTCTTTCTGCTTCATCTAACAATCTACCAGTAGTTGATCCTGGTCTGCTTGGATCTTGACCATGTCTTTCCAATTGAGCAACTAAATCTGAAATACAGGAAATCCTTGTTAGTTTGAAATTCAAGGAACANAAACTCTGAGTATTATTTTGTGATTTGTCATCTTCAAAGCTTAACATTATTAATATCATATCAGATATAATTTTTTTTTACTTTAAATCACATTTTGTGTTAAATTTTTGAAAATTTTATATCAAACCTTTGAAGAAAATATTGTGTGATAATGTTATAAATTTTTATTGAAAAATATTTTATAAACCTGAACTTTTACATTACATCAAATACCAAATGAATAATTGGATTCTTTATTTGGCTATAAGACTTATAAACAATAAAGAATCCATCTAAAGAAAATAACTCTTGGGTTAGTTGTATTTATTTTAAGTTAGATTTTTATACTTTATAAATAAACATAAAATTTGTTTATAATAAAATATTAGCTTCATTATTCAAGCTTATATACATATATAATTGAAAATACATGCAAAATTAAATATACACTTGAAAACATTTAATTTTATTTTAAAATTAATTTCTCTTTTTGTATAAAATAGTTCATAAAATAATAAATACAAACATTTAACAACATACATTTACAGCCATATTCAGTCAATATGTGACGAGATTTGCATTCCGAACAATCTCTGCTAACTAATCCTTCTAAACAAAGACATTTGCCAGTAACTTTATCACATATCTGACTTTTTGATCCATATGTATTGCAGTTACAGGGTTCGCATGATCCTCCTGGTACATTTGGGTTTCCATAATATCCATCTGCACATCTATAAAATTTATTTTAGTTTATTTAGATAACCTATAAATTTTTGCAGAAATTTGAAATGTACAGTACCTGTATATTCAATTTTTAAAAATTTTTTTATGAATTGCAACAAATTATGATACAAATGCAGCTCTGAATAAGGCAATGGGACCTTATCAGAACTGTAGACCATGCCCATAGAAGTAAAAATAGTCAAAGGAACCAATGATCTACATATAACTCTTTGTGAGAAATAGCCTCCCTGAAATCATCCTATCTGGAATTTTGAAAACCCTTAAAAATGATGTAAAATTTAAAAGTAAAAGAATTCAGAACTTTTTCTCAAAATAATGCTAAAAATCAATGTTAACGTTTTCCGCTTTACTAGAAAGAGATGGCTAAAAGCCCATAAAACATGAGAAATGCCATTGCACCAACTTCTGGGGCATGATCAGAGTCACTGCTTTGTTAAGTCTATCACAAGCAGTCCAGTCAAAAGACTGATATTTTGCCAAAATTCACAATTAGAGATTTGGTTTCTTTGACTTTTTTGGTCATCTAGACATCACATTTGAGGAAAGGGTCCAAAACCCTCATTCAGAACTGAAATTTACCCAAATTATTAGTTATATATTAAAATAATTAATATTTTTATTAATTATATCTTAATTGAAACTATGAAGTATATCTGTTAACTAACACAAATGACTAAAATTATTTTTACTGCATAAATTTGTCATTTATTTGCTGGTTACATTGGTTTCAAATACATATTAATTTTATAGATACCATTTGTAAGTATATATTGTATTGATATTTGTTTATGGTTTTAAAAACTAAAATATTTTAAAACTTTGCATGAAAACTTTTTAATGTAATAATATTATGTAAGTATGTCATCAAATGTTTGAATGATAAAAGAGGAGAGTCAAAATTTCAGTTCTGAAATAAGTTATATTGTGATTAAATGTAAAGAATGTCATGCTAATGAGTGTTTCAATCGAAATGTGTCCAGGGAAGAATTGAACAAATAAAATGGCAAACTTGCATAGTAAAAATGATTTTGGTCATTTGTTAGTTAATAAATATTTTTAAATTCAAAAGTGTAACTGCTACTGTATATACTCAATCACACATAACCTTGAACATCAGCAAAAAGTTTTATTTAACTTCAAATATGTTAATCTGTCATAATTTTTATCGGTTAGTTATTCATCAGTTTGTCCCAAAAATTGAGTATTTACCAATAAAGATTTATACATAAAAGTTGTATACAATTTAAAATACAAATATATTGGCAACTTTTATACTTAAATTTTATTTTAAATTTAACATGGAACAACAGCTCAAACTGCTTCTACTTCATCCATCCTATCTGAATAATACAAATAAAAACACAGGCATAGAACATAAATTATCAAACACCAAATATGTTTAAATATAAAAATGAAGTTTTACAATATGCTACATCTCTGTGACATGTGCAAAAGTGACAAAAAATAATAATACAAATAATAACTAAACTGTGTGTTGTGTTGACTTCAAACAAAGATTTCCAAACATCTAATATCATTTAGAAGTGTTGAACATGAAATCATGTTATTAATCAATCACATAGCTTCTTTTCCACCTTTATTTAGTTGAGTAATAAAGGTGGAAAAGAAGCCATGTGATTGGTTAATAGCATGATCTTGTGTTCAACACTTCTAAAGAAAATCTATTACAACACAGTTTCACAACAAATGAATCTAATATCATGTTTAGGTTTTAATTTTTTATGTTTTTAGCATGCTCCACTATAGTGGAGAAGTGCTTATGTTAGGACTTTTATGTGTCATTCAGATGTGGATCTGTCAGATTTGCGCACGCATGCTCCATTCGATCCATTTATTGCGCATGTTCACACATATACACAACAACTACTTGATTCTAAGAATTTATAAAATTTATTTTAAACAAAATTAACATTTGATTCACTTTTGTGGAGCATGCTATCAGATTGGCTTGACCAAGCTTGTTTGTGCATGCTACAGAGATGTAGCAAATTGTAAAAAAATTTATTTTCATATTTAAATATGTTTGTACATTTGACTATTTACATTCTATGTCTGTTAATATTTGTAAATGTTTGATTTCTGGAACATAAAGCTGATAAATTTTCAAATTAAATAAACCTTTTTGTTGTTAGTCAAAGTTGTATATGATTGAGTAATAATTATTTGAATTAGTTGTAATGTAAACCATGTTTCATTATTCAACACTAATATACAGCAAACTTTTCTTAAATTAATAAATGAATTTGAATATTAACATTTTTATTTATTTACATTACAAAATATAAATATAACATTTTTAAGATAATCAAATTATTAAATTATAATAATCAGTTAATAGTAGCAAAGAAGTAATAGCTTTGCTAAATCGTATAAAAATCATTTAGAGAGCTTAAGTGCTTATTTTAAAGAATGATAAATAGGCAAGTGAATTTGATCCAATCACAGGCTATAGTTTCATTGCCCTACATAATTTCAGCTATTCTTTAAAGCCCTGCAATCAACCTATTGACAACTTAAATTCTTTAAAAACATTCATTGTCATTGAAGATCCTGCATGCAAAATAAAATTTTAGAAAAATAATGCAAACAAAACTTACAGTTATATAAAAAGTAGAAAGGAGACGATTGAGATGGTACTGACACATCAAAAGAATGGAAAAAGAAAAAAGTTCCATAAAAATTTTGGAATGCCTACCACAGAAAATAAAACAGATGAAGAGATAGACACACATGAATGGATGGATGGATGGATGGATGAAGTCAAGAAAAATATGAATGAAAGGAATTTAGAAGAAAGATTTGGAGAAACAAAAACAAATGGAAACAAATTATTAAAAAATCTTGGCTATCTCTTGATTTGGGACAGAAGCTAACCATGTCAACAATAGAAAACTATCCTAAAAAGAAGAAAAAAATATAATAATTTGTGAATATAAAAATATATAACTACTGTATTTAGTTTTCTGTATTTTATGTATAAATATTTGAAATATCAACAATTTATCTGCTTGTAAATATAATTAGTTTTATAATCTGAAATACTTGGCATATTTACATATCAAGTTAAAACAGCCTTGAAATACTTTATATGTTTTGATTATTATTATTATTATTATTCAAATAGAATGCTAATTCCCAAAATAATAAGAAAAAAATATCTTCAAGACTATTAACATTACTTCAATTATATACTAAAGAGTCCCTAAATATAAAAAAATTAATTTTATTTTTTTAAAATTCATTCATTTAAAGTAAAAACTATTTTTCAATTTTTCAGCATCTAAAACTTGTCCAAATTTTAACATAATATTTTAAAATATTATTATTTAAGTTATATATGCTTTAAATAATAATCAATCAATGATAAAGACATAATTTCATACAAGTATATACAAAAAGTAAAGGCAATTTATATGTAATACTAATGTTATTGTCATAAAATAAACAACTATATTTTTAACAAACCTAAACAAATTTTGCCAGTTGGTTGTATTCAATCTGATCCAATAATTAATTCTGGTAATATAAATAAATATGTTCTTGAATATTTTTTCAATAAACTTTTCCTTTTATGACACCAAATTAATTTCTCATTTATATTACAGGCACAAATTAGACACTTTGGTAGTATATTTACTATGAAAATAGTCATAGTATAATGTAATATGCAAAATAAAAATGCATATCACATTAAACTTTCTTTATACTTTGTTCTATAATGCCCAATTACAGGTGGTGTTCTTATTCACAATGCCCACCAATTACTTATAACAACTACTTACTATGATAATAGCCATATCTGGCAAAACATAGTATAAAACATAATACAAGTTATCTTAGATGGCACCTCTTGTTCAATTGCCAACTATGAGATAATTCATAGTTGGCAATCAACGTTTAAAATGAAATAGTGTAAGGTTCACTTTCTAATTGTGTTGCCAATAAATAACATATTGTGATCAATTTCTTCTGATCAAAATTCTCAAATAAAATTATCAAAATTTCACATAACAAATAAATCAAAATGAATATTTTTGAAAAAAGGAAGAACAAATTGTTTGACAGCCAGAATGATTTTCATCAACCAAGTTTTATTCCTGAAAATCATTTTGGCTGTCAAACAATTTCAATGGCAATAAACTTTATGGATTGAGTCATTACTTTATTCAAGAAAGAAAGAGCCTATTATTCAGTTATTGCTAATGATTTAGATATCTGCTCATATCATTTCTGTTCTTTTAGCTAGTGTAAGGAGGCTTGAATTAAACTGAAAAATGTTCAGTGAAGCTTAGGGAACATCTTGAAGATTATGAAAGAGCTGCTTTAATGGAATGTACTAGGTATATAGTGTGTCTGAAAAGATATTGTGCAGTGAGAAATTTGTAATGGCATTAAAGTTACATTTATGACATTGCATACGAGACTTGTAAGTTGTATGTTCTGCATTTCCAGTTTATGGTAAATGTTTTGGTTTCTGGACTACAGTTTTTGGAAGACTTCTTTGCTGATCACATAATCTCCTATGTAATCTGGAAACTCACTTCCAGATTTTTGGGCCTCTGGGAACATTTCCAGCATTTGCTATAGGAGAAACTGCAATATTATATGTAAAACTTCACTTTTATTAAAACTCAAACCTCTTCAACTGCACAGTAAGTTTTTAGACACCCTATATAAACAATAGTTACATAGCTATCAAGTATTTTCAAGTTATTTCACTCATCTTCAGGAAAATAAAAAAAAAACAAGAAAACATCGATTACTTATGCATCCATTAAAGCATTTCCCTCATAATTATGGAGTTGTAACTTATTACATGTTGAAGAATAATGGATTTTTCATTCTTGATTTAATAAAAAGTAAAATGCCTTTACTTTTTGATTTTCCTTTATATTAATTTTGAATTATACTAAAATATTTAATATTATGTATTTTAAATAATCTAGTTGCAAAAACAAAATTATTATAAAATACCTTTCACAATGACGACCAGTATAACCTTGCTGACAATTAATACAAATGTAATCAATTCCATCAGATCTGCAGGTGTCACTAAACCTTTATGAAAGATAAAATAACAAAATTTACATTATGTATTTATATTACAGAACTTTAAATTAATGGATTATTTTTCTTAAAAAATGGCAATAATAATTATAGAATATTAAAGAGTAATATTAAATTTCATTAAGAAAAAATAAAAATTGTCATGAGAGTAAAATAGTTCTTTTTTCAAACCAATATAAAGATTTATAGGTGAATTCTTTACTAGTGATATTTTGAGGTTGCCTATTTTCATTCTCTTAATTTATATTTTTAAGTATATTACAAAACAACAGATACATATGAATACATTTTTCACCCAAGCTGATCAGTAAATCCAGACATTTACTAGTATCTCTTGGTAAAAGTCCGAAATGTGGATATTTTATCAGGGATTTTGGAATTTTACAAGTCAGTATGGTAAATGTCCAGATTTACTGGTAATTTCTAAGTTACTAGACTTCAGAAATTTACAGTAACATATATATTAAAGAATTGCTTTGGAATAAATTGTTTTATGCTTTATTATCAGTAAGTGATTTTACTTGTATACCTATTTATACAACTAAATAGTGTGGGTCATGTAAAATTTTCTCAAATAAAAGGAAGTTGCAAATGGAAAAAGTTTAGGAAGCCCTATTGTAAATAATTCTACAGATAAATTTATAAAGTTATTCTGTTTTAGATTACTAAAAATTTTTGATATAATATAAATTTGAAATTGAAAGTGTATCGTAACAATTGAAGTACAGTGGAACCTCGATTAACAAACACCCTGGTTAATGACCAAATCAGTTAACAAACTATTATTTTGCAAAAGTTTTGTCTCAGATAACAAACTTAGCAACTTTTTGTGTGAAATTTTAGTTGCTGTTAGGCATGTGCCAGTTAAGTATTGCTTTTCTGAGTGTTTGTGCTAAACTTCTTTTTTCAGTTTTGTGATTTATATATTTAATCAATATGGCACACAAGAAAGAGAAAAGTGATAGTGGCAATAGAAAATGATAATGCGATATGAACGACAATGCTCCATTGCATTTGAAAAAAATTTTGATTAAAAGAATAAGACAATCAACTTTTAGATCAATTTCTTGTTCCTTACCAAATAAGACCTCAACTCAAAGAATCTCCCAATGAAGTGATACCCATTATTTTTTTGGAGAGGGATTCCCCTTCTAAGCATTAAGCTCTGTACATCTCCACTCCTCTGCCACCAACTACATTAAACAAAGGTATGTACTGTACCAGTACAGTGCTATTTTATTAAAGTTTACATGTTTGTTGCTGTAATGATAGATTCTACGTTTTCCTACATTTTCATCAAAGAAAACCCATTTTACAAATGAAATTACAAAAATTTTGGAGGATAGAATAGATAAATTGTATTTGCATTAATTTCTATGGGAAAAATTGCTTTGGTTAATGAACAGAGTTGTGGAATGAATTAAGTTCATTAACCAAGGTTCCACTGTACAGTATAAAAATATTCATCTTTACATAAAACTGAAATTTCTCAATATGTCAAAAGAGAAAGCTCATATATTAATATATTTACCTGTTAGTAGGCAGAGGACAAGAACATGGTAGACATCTTTTATTATTGAGATCTTCATAAAATCCTTTTATACAACTTTCACAATGTGGTCCAGTACTATAATCTGTACAATTCTAAATAAAACGAAAAGAAAACATCTACAAACAATATTTTCTGATAAAACAATTTTGTAGAATATTTATCTTTTTCTGAATACTATTAAACATTTTTTACCTGTCATGTTCAAATGACTTACAATGCATATTCCAGTTTCTTGATCACAGATCTTACTGCGATTATTACAATTACATGGCTCTGCCCATCCAACTAGATCCAAAATATTTTTATAATCAGGATAATTTGGTTTACGTTTACGATAATAACCAGGTGCTGGATCCTGAAAGTTAAAATAATGTTTAAGAAAACTTTCAGAACTTTTTTAACATGAAAAGAAAAAATTCTAATATAAACTTAATGTTTTTTTCTTGCTATTTTCTGACTATATAAGCAAACTTTTCTAAAATAAATAGTTAAAATAATCATTGGAGTGCCATGGAGAGCTATTGATGTAAAATGACATCTAGTTAATACAGTGATTAACTTGAAAAGTTATATGATCTTCATTCAATCTTTGCTTCCAGACTCTGGAAGCAAAGATTGAACAAAGATCTGTGTAATGTAACTGATAATGCATCTGCATGTTATATGGAGGATACAAATTTAAGTCCTGCTCTGGGCTAATCTTTTCTTTAAGAACTTCTAAATTGTTTAATTTAATCTAAATTTATTTCTAACTATTCATTTTCACACAGGATGGTGGCATTACTTCCTACCTTTCAGCTGAATTAATTTGTTTAATAATTAGTCATATTATATCCCAAATGTAATCCAGTGATAGCTATTATAAAAACATTATTTATACCTGACAAGATGATCCTGTATATTTGGGAGGACAATAACACACTTCTACACCATGAGCTGGTAGAGGATTCTGATGAAAAGATCCTTCTGCTACTTCCAGACTCAAATCATTTAGTCTGTAATATCCAGATTTAAAAAAATATGATATTAACAAAATAATTCATTTTTATTTATGTAACTGCATATAAATTTAATAATAAAAAATCTAAATTAAACAAAATCAATAAATCATTGATTGAATTCAAAATCTTCAAAAGAAATGCTAATACAATATATTCAAAGACATAATAATTAAAATGTACTAAATTGAATAAAAAATAAATTTTTATACAGAATTTATATTCATACAAGTAAATAATTTTAATATATTTAAAAAATTTTTAAAAAATGCTTTTATTAGTCATATTTTTTGAGACTGAAGGAAAGATGGTGGTGATGACACCACTCCCACCACATACATCATTGCAATGCATTTACATGCACAAACACACCATAAATAAATTCTACATTTGTTTATATTTATCAAATTTCAGTGCAGGACCATCGAGTGAGGAGCTGAGGCAGAGTGAATTCCCCAAATTTAGAGAAAAAATTTAGAGGCCTGTAGTGACTCTTACCCCTATAAAATTAATGATATTTTTACTAACAGAAAAATTGATAAGACTGCTTTTTTATTAATAAAGAAATATTCTACATATTTCATTTGCTCCAAATAAAAAAAATCCACAGCTAAAAGAGCCTGCAAAGAAGCAAAACTGCCCACTCTATCCTGAGCCCCAAACAAGCTCTCAACAGCCCTGCTTAGGTATGTTCTCAGCCTTCTATCTTAATTAGAAGTGGATGAAATTTGAGTTGCAAGATTCAAGGACATGATACAAAGCGAGTTAAATAAAAACATTTAATATTACAAAATGTGTAAATCGCTAAATTACAAAAGATGTATTTAAAAATAATTTCTATATAACTTTAAATTATATAAAAATTTTATATTCTAGTATATAATATTTATTATAGGCTTTTTCTAAAGCCCATTATTCCAAAAATTAATAAATTATAAATAACAAAATAAATTAAAGAAAGAACATTAACAACCTTGCATATTTAACATCAGAGCCCGTGGTAGCTCTTATTAAGATCAACTGTAATCTTTGCAATGCTATCATTATCATAGCTCGAGTAACAGGAGTTTGAGGATTTTCATGATCTTGCCATTCATCCTGTAAAATTAATGTAAAACTGATTACTGAATAAAAAATACTAAACATTATGAACCGAGTAAAGTTATATACATTTAAAAAGAATTCAAAATACATGTAAAAATATCACAATATAAGTAAAAATTATGTAAGAAAAATATGAGAATTTTCTGAAAACCTTATTTAGCTATTTAAATTTAGAATATAATGATTGCAACATATAATTTTTAAATTTTAAATTCAGCTAATTGGAATGCTTTTTCCTAATTAAGAATTAGATTTTTTCTAATCAAAGTTATTCATCATTTATAAACAAATTGTGTTAAAAACTAGCATCATTTTGAAAACTACATATTAATAAATGAAAATTACTTTCTCCAGTTTGGTTTCCTGAAGGAAGCAGTTTATTTATGTGGTTCATTCATCATTTATTTAATGAAAAATCTTAACAGATTTATCACAGAAATTTTTATATTATATATAATAAAATTAAAATCTGAAAAACATAATATACATTACTCATATTTAATGTTTATCATGTATATCATTTAATGTTTTCTTAAAAGATTACTTTGAAAAAAAAAAAGAAGGTTACATTCATTTTGCCATTAATCTATGTTACTTGCACCAGTAATATTACTATATTATGTTTATATGAACAGTATCATGAATGCTTTGTTTGAAAACAACAAATTCTTTGTGAATATTGTATATGCAAAATGCATGTGTTTATAAGCTTATAAGAGAACTTTCTGAAGAAAATCTAAGCTACCTGAATGATAAATATCAAGCAGAGTTAATGCATTTTGTTTTTTATTTTTTATGTTACTTCCTTAAAGAATTTTAGTTAAACTCCTTACTTGCTACTTTATACTAAATTACTCTATATAGTGCAGTGCATCACCATGTTTCCCATACTTTCCAACCAAGGGTTTATTCAAAGACAGGTTTAGTTGAAACCCAAGGTTTAATTGAAAAAAATGCAATATATATATTTCTGAATATAATAATGTTGTTATATTTATCTCAAAGTCTGATGATTATAATAAAGCCAAACAATTACCAGATTAAATAAGGCTACATTACCGCTACTAATAAGTTAATCATTAGCAGCAGTAATGTAGCCAAATTTAATCTGGTAATCATTTGGCTTTATTATTAATTAATTCTATTAACAGGATTCTATTTCTTTAATAGGATTTTATTACATTTTAAATCTTTGCTATTGTGGCCGCCAGCGCCAGAGATCCTGAACACTGTCTGGCAACACTTGCCAAGATCACGAACTCTGTCTGGCAACACTTGCCAACAAGAGTGGCTGGCAACGTCAAAAAAGAAAAGGCGCAAAAGTTCGTTGGATTTTGTCCGGGTGTTGCCCGAGGATGTCTGTGACAGTTCTAACCTTTTCTAATAAAGTTCTTTTTTGTTACTGTTCGTGTTTGCCTGCTTAATGTTAGATCTAAACATCAGTAGGATTGAATGACAAA